GCGCTCTGACCAACAAGAGACTTCCAGCTGGGACCTGAGACGAGGCTTCCCAGTTTGGGTTTTTTATGGTGCTACGGTCCTCTGTTTCGTGAATTTAGGAATTCGAATCATCGAATAGTCTGATGTTCTCCATTTCTGATACAGCATGATACAGCAATCTACAGGAAGCGTATTCAACGAAAGTCATGCAAGCAAGATGTGTAATATCATGCCACCCTCGAGCTGTGGGCAGTGTTGGTTCAAAACGGACCATGGTTCTTTTTGATACTTTTGCAGAGTAGTCGCCCAGAGGCGAAGCTGCCCGAGAGCTGACGCTTCCGCTGCCACCCCTGTCGCCTGATCAGAAATGACAGACTGGTTACCTTCGTTCTCGGGGTGATTCGATTTGTGTCCTTGGGATCCGTGCAGATTAACGGTTGATTAACGTTGCGCCCAATTTGTGTTCCCTGAAAAGTGCGAGTTTATATGTGTCCTTTCCCATCGCCTCCGACTCCAGCCAAGAGAAGCGTAGAGACAGCGCGAGCAATCCTGCACGTCCAGCATTTCCGGAACAGAGGCTTGGGCTTTCTCCTGACAGTCCTCTACTCCTTCACCGCCCATCATCAAGTTCACGTCGCACTGCTCCAGCAGGGCCTGGCTATTCCGGGCCCCGGGCAAGCCCTAGCCCCACGGCAAAAAATATCTGAAGGCGCGAGGGTTCAGAGTTTAGAAGAAAAATGGTTCAGGGTCTGGGACTGCGTCTTAAAACCTCCCATCTTCTAGATCAGCCTCTGAAACTTGCACCTCCAGTGGCCTGGTGGGCACAGTCGCTAGGACCAGACGTGCTTGTGGTGGCGAACAGGAATTTCCGGCGATAAAACGCCCAGCACCTGACAGGTGCTGGCTTTAAGTTTGGGATCCTCAAGGACCTCGCAGCTAAATCTTCGAGGTGGTGAAACGATTTTCGTCTGCTCAACGTCAATAACAGCACGCCTTGAGCTCAAGGATTCGGGTACTTCGAATTTCTTTACATTCACGGTCAGTGTTTCAACATGACTCCGGAACAATGACAGCAACTGTTGATGAAAAGTCGTTCAACGAAATCCTTGCAAACGTGCAGAACATGTAACAAGGAGGGGAAGTCAGCACTTTTCTTGCCACCCGTCTAGCCACGTTGAACGTTTAGCGTGCCGGGCCGAGCCAGCCCATGAGCAACAACCACAAAAACACACGAGTGCCGCTCCCTACTGTGGCAGAGACACGCATACAACTCGTATACGACAAATCGCAGATTCCAAGGCACTTCTCTGGGTCCGCACGGCGGCAGACTTTCTCCGATGATCGAGCTGCCAGGATGCCGCTGGCACCTGCCTGCTCAGGTTGTGCAGGGAGCTTTTTCGGGGTTGTGCAGCTAAGTTCCAGACGCGCACCTCTGTGAGCAAAGTCGGACAAGCCGTGTAGAGCCGACATTGTTGAACTGCAGCAGCTGAGCCAACCCAGAAGAATCGGCAGCTGTTGTTCAGCTGGCAGGCATGGTGACAGTCCTCCTCGTGCGATGCGTCGAGCAGGGTGGACCTCTTCTTCTGGCCCCAAGGACCCCCCCCCAGGTTAAGGAGAAACCAAGAAAAGAAGCCAAAGAAGGATTTCGAGCCAAGGCACAATGCCAGCAAGGACTCCTGATCACAGACCAGCGAGCCTTTAGCAATCTCGATGGTCAGAGGCACGTACTCCTGAAGGGGCACACTTGACTGCATCCACGTGACCTGTTTGTTGGCGTTAAAGCACTCCGTTAGTCTTTTGATGGAGGCCAGGGCTCGTTGTCACTGCCCGGTGGCAGCTGGCTAGCACTCTTGGAAGTCACCGGGTCGCCCGTCCAGCTCTGAGGAAAGCAGTCGCAAGCATGCAAAGTGAAGTCCATGTCCTGTTCGGCCCCAATGTCACACAGATGTCCCTTCTTCCGGTTCTGAACTTTTGGAACCCTTGCGTGCTTGCGCAGACTCTGTGAAGAGGTTTTGGGCATGAAAGGCGAGGTCGGATTGTTGTTTTTTAACAAATGAAAAATGTTGTGCGTGCGTGCGTGCGTGCGTGGGTGGGTGCGTGGGTGGGTGGGTGCGCGGGTGCGTGGGTGGGTGGGTGGGTGGGTGGGTGGGTGGGTGGGTGGGTGGGTGGGTGTGTGTGTGTGTGTGTGTGTGTGTGTGGTGTGTGTGTGTGGTGTGTGGTGGGGTGGGTGGGGTGTGGGTGGGTGTGTGGGTGTGTGTGGGTGTGTGGGTGTGTGGTGTGTGGGTGTGTTGTGTGTGGGTGTGTGGTGTGTGTGTGTGTGTGTGGGGTGTGGGTTGTGTGGGTGTGTGGGTGTGTGTGTGTGTGTGGTGTGTGTGGGTGTGTGTGTGTGTGGGGGTGTGGGTGTGGGTGTGGGTGTGGGTGTGGGTGTGGGTGTGGGTGTGGTGGGTGTGGGTGTGGGTGTGGGTGTGGGTGTGGGTGTGCGCTGTGCGTGTGCGTGTGCGTGTGCGCGTGTGCGTGTGCCGTGTGCGTGTGCCACCGTGTGCGTTGTGCGTGTGTGTTGTGTGTTGTGTGTGTGTGTGTGTGTGTGTGTGTGTGTGTGTGTGTGTGTGTGTGTGTGTGTGTGTGTGTGTGTGTGTGTGTGTGTGTGTGTGTGTGTGTGTGTGTGTGTGTGTGTGTGTGTGTGTGTGTGTGTGTGTGTGTGTGTGTGTGTGTGTGTGTGTGTTTGTGTGTGTGTTTGTGTGTGTTTGTGTGTGTGTGTTGTTGTGTGTGTGTGTTGTGTGTGTTTGTGTGTGTGTGTTGTGTGTGTGTTTTGTGTGTGTGTTTGTTTTGTGTGTGTTTGTGTGTGTTTGTGTGTGTGTGTGTGTTTTTGTGTGTGTTTTGTGTGTGTGTTTTTGTGTGTGTTTGTGTGTGTGTTTGTTGTGTGTGTGTGTGTGTGTGTGTTTGTGTGTGTTGTGTGTGTGTGTGTGTGTGTGTGTGTGTGTGTGTTTGTGTGTGTGTTTGTGTGTGTTTGTTTGTGTGTGTTTGTGTGTGTGTGTGTTTGTGTGTGTGTGTGTGTGTGTTTGTGTGTGTGTGTGTGTGTGTGTGTGTGTGTTTGTGTGTGTGTGTGTGTGTGTGTGTGTGTGTGTGTGTGTGTGTGTGTGTGTGTGTGGGTGTGTGCGCGCGTGCGCGTGCGCGTGCGCGTGTGCGCGTGTGCGCGTGTGCGCGTGCGCGTGCGCGTGCCTGCCTGTCTGTCTGTCTGTCTGTCTGTCTGTCTGTGTGTGTGTGTGAGAGTGTGTGTGTGTGTGTTCAACAAAAAAGATGGTTTGTGTACGTGTAGTTGAAAAAACACCCGCCAAAGATTGAACATGCACGAACCAATAGGCTACCAGGGCTGAGAACTTCCGTCTGAGCTTGTCTGTTGCAGACCAGAAAAAGAGGAAGAAGCTTGAGTGTTTCGAGCTTAAGGCTGCGTCTCCGTGGTGGTACTCGGATCATCGACCACAAGCGCCTCTGACATCTCCGGCGACAAGACCGGAGCCTGGCACGACTGCGGCTTCAGCATCAGCTGCAGGCCTCGGCCACGAAGATTTGAGTATTCAGTACTCCAACCCACACTGACTCAACTGGCAGTCGCTAACTTTTCAGACTTTGGGTTCATTCAATTCAGTACAGACATCTGAGTTTCAACCCTCTCGCGCATTTCTCTCTGCAGGGGCTGCTGGGACTTGTTGGAACTCCGATGGGACCACAGCCCCCACTTACATCCTTTGCCATGTGGCCTTTGCCGATGAAGGTCTTCTCGTGCTTGATCTTCAAATCCTGCCTACCCTTGTCGAAGGTAGCCTGCACGACACCATGAGGAACATCCGCCGTGAGGCAAGCAAGGTGCTCGCCAAAGAGCTCGATGTACTTGGAGCTTGTATTCTCGAAATCCCAGGTTCTGTTGCTCCTTGCATCACTCTCGTTCCATGTGCTTCCATGCTGCATCATGCTGCGTCCTAAGTCTCCTGATCAGCAGCAGCCCCCCGTCGCACTTGGCAGCTTCGCTCGTCTCGGGAGCCAAGTAGAACACATCTTGCGGCGTGGCGACGCTCTTCCGGAAGGCCCAGCCTGAGCTGTAGCTTAAAGCTCAGCTGATGGAACCCGTTGAACCCGACAGATTGGTTTGCCATCCGAGAGCCAGCGGGGGTGCCCACAGTGGTCCTCTCGAAGGCGATGGGACAGAAGAGGCCACTGTAGAGCCATACCTGGACACCCGGCTCAGATTGCACCTCTCACAGAAATCTCCTTCTGGAGCAACTAGCATGAACAGCCCAAACTTTGCTCCACTTCACTTAGCGGCGGGCTTGGAGCCTGTCAGGTTCATGCATGTGTGCTCGATGCTACAGTTCGTGATCTTGACATATGCCGAGAAGGGCTGGCAGCCCTCAACCTTGCCAATTGATACAGCCAAAAGAATCAAGTATTTTACGGCCACCAACCGGTGTACTTTCGATAAGAATTGAATTCGTATTCGCGACTTCATTGCAACAACCGCTAGAAACTCTTCTCGTTGACATTCCTGGCGGCAGGATGCGGGCCGCAAGGAGCCAGAAATTGGCATGCATTTGACTGCGAATTGTAGGCCCCACATCGAACATCCGTGCGGCAAGCTCCACGGCAGTCTCCTTCCGAAATACCGCTGAGAGTCTGCACAACGTGTGCCTGGGGAATCTGCGCGTCTTGCCAGCACGTTGCATCCTGCACAAACACCTCCAGTGTCTTGACAATAGGCGGCACAGGGACCCCGACTTGCCACTCAAAGAGCCCTAAGATCTTGCAGGAGAGCTCCAGACGCCCTCGGTGAGATTTCGACTGCAAGCCGTCCAAGAGTTCTGAAACTCTTTCCTCTGGCGTCAGCTTCAATGCCCCCGTCTCTACATTCAGATGAAAGAGCGTGAATCCAGCCACTGATGCTACACCGGTCAGCTCATCGAAAACCACATCAACAGCCACGCTCCTTGAGACGGAGCCGCGAAGGCTGGAGCTTTCTCATGCAGACTAAACCCGAAACCCCCAAAAAGCCCCAATTCATGCAAATCATGCACTAGTTCTGGTTTGGGATGTTAGGGTTTAGGGTGTACTGTAGGGTTTGCAAGTTTAAGGGAATCCCTTATTGAATCCTGGCCACTTGTCTTCGCATGATGCCGAAAACCGGGTTGGTGCTACACTGCCCTCGCCGCCGCTGCTCGGGTTCAAGGCCGGCCCGAAGCTGGTTCCGGGGGCCACGTACCTGGACTAGGTCCTCAAGCTTATGGCTCCAGCCTGAACGCCAAGCTTTCCCTAAGTTACACCACAAAACATGGACCCCAGGATTTGTTGGGACGGTTGACAACGATGCATTTTGGCAGAAACCGAGATACAGAGTGTCATGCGGATATTCAATCTTGGCCCATGTCTCTGGCAGAACGACCAGCACATTGGATGTCTGGTTGGAAGAATTCCGGACCTGACAAAGGCCCGAAGCAGGAAACCCGAACTCACCCCTCAGATGCTAAAGCCCAAGATTCAAAACCCTCAAAACCGCAAAGCGCTGGGGCGCTAAACTCTAAAACCCTCGAGCCCTACCTACATCATCTCAACACACCTCGGCTTCCCGAAAATGCCTGGCAAAGGCCCCCCGGCGCTGACGATAGCCATGGCAAAGTCAGGTTGGTCAGCCCTGTCGCCACGTCGACAATCTCGTGTTGGTTTCGGGTGGTTTGTGGGCACTTGGTCAACAAGTGAAGCATACTGCTGACTTTACATTTTGGTATCTTCACTTGAGCTCCAGGGCTTCGTGTTCTGGATCTTTGAGATTCAGGCTGGTCGTGGTGCCCGTGGAGATAGCATGACACTCCATGACACTCAACCCTAAACCGTCCTGTCTTGGGCTTCTGTGAGGCATCCACGGTCAAAGACCCGTCGGCTTCCAGTTGCCATGGTGCTTCTTGCTCCGGAGTCGGAATGCAAGCGAGGGCCAAGCCTCTTGGATCCGTGAGGCTTCAGCAGGAATACTTCGGGGAAGGTCTGCGGGGATCATGGCAGCTTTTCACCCGCAGCACCTCCCGGATCCTCTCCGGGACGGAAGCGAGCAGGAAATGTCTTCGTGTCGTCGGTCACGATGAGGGCCAAACCTGTTGGATCTCGCTTTCAATTTCTTGGGACTTGGGCTCTTGCTAGGCAGTCAGATGATGTTATATAAGTTATATATATATATATGTATGTACCATGCCAAAGCAGGACTCACTGAGTACCGAGCTTTCGTAGACCAGGAAGTTGGAAGCAAGGACGTGGAGCCTTGCTGACGCCTCCAAGTCACCTGAACTTGTTATGAGCTTGAAACCGACAAACGCCGTCTCTTCGGGGTGGCACGAAATTACTGATCGGGGGTGGTCCAGCTAATACGTCAGGTTCGTAGGGCAAATCCTGCAAACAAAGACTACGATCATGCTACAACAAATGTGACGCATTTGGACATCCGCTAGCAAACTCGGCACAAGAAATGCTGGAAAATGGTCTAGACCTTCGAAGATCCCACGGCGTATCCTCGGCAAGCCATGAGAATATGAAAGTGGTTGGGCCTCCCATCTCGAACCTTGGCAGCTATTAAATACATGCGAGAATACACCGTGTTTGGGGCAGCAATGATGGAGCCTCACCAGTGACCCGAAAATCGAAGAACCCTTCCGCATCGGCGATGGCAGAGGTGCATCAAACGGAGTTCGCCGGAAACATCAAAAACACCCCACCTTGGTGAGCTGTCACAATGCAGGTCACCTGGAAGTCGTCCACAGCGCGGCCGCAACCAATGGTGTCGCACCCTTGTTGGAGTTGAAGCTGCCCTCAGAAGACAGGTGGTTCTGGTTCCAGGAGTCTGCCGAAGGCTTGTTGTGGGAGTTGTTCACGCACAGCTTGCAGTGTGAGGTGCCTGTGCTGCCGCTGATGGTCAGGTTGAACTCCAGAAGCTTGCAGTCCACGTCAACCGAGTAGTGCGAGGCTGTTCGTGGAAGGGGGTGGCCAGTCACAGCACTTTCTCCAATCAGCAATGGCTCCTGGCATTCCCATGTGCCTTTTCAACCCCAGGCCTTATGAGGTCAATCTAGAATCCTTCAGAATCCTTCAGTGCGTGAAAGCAAAGGCTTGCGCTCACGATGTCCCAAGCACAGCTACCGACGTGCCATTCCAGTGGAATTCCATGCCGCAACCTCCATGCTCGAAATCATACAACGTGGCCCCGGGGGTTCTGAGGTAGTAGTAAGTATAACAGCAATCCGAGGAGTTGAGACATGGTGCACTGTAGTAGCGAAATGGAGTCGCTGCCCGCAGACCACCACCACAGCTGCAACAAGCAGTTCTGGCAGAAGCACCGTGAAAACCTGGGCGAGACATCTCAGCGTTGGGCTTCGGGAAGTCGGGTGTTGTGTGGTGTTGCTGTGTCCTTTGGCCGTGTTCCAACTCTCAACCCAAGAGCGGTCGGAGCTGCAGCCGTCAAAGCCCTGAGAGGCAGCAAAGCAGTTCCTTCCGTGCTCGTCGTGCCACCCGGGGTAGTCCATGCAGGCTGTGCACTGCCCATCCTCCCTGGGCTGTGCACTGCTGCACATCCTCTAAGAGCTTTTTGACTTATAGAGATTAGAGAACATGCAGCTTTCAAAGCATTCCTAGCAATGACCTAGGCTCAAAGTCCAGCCGCCTATGCATTTGCCGCAAGCGGTCCCGTCTGCGGTCGGTGCGGCACATCCACCGCACCATGCAGCGTCTGCTGGGCAGCAGAAAGAAGATCCATCCTGCGTTGCATGTAGGACGCAGGGTTTGAGGTTGGGTAAAGGCTTGCTTGCGCCTATTGCATCTTTGGGTGAACCAGTACTTGACATGGGAATTCTTCGGAAGGAATCCGTCCGGATGCCACACCACGGTACCGATGCCACGCTCGCAAGCATGTCCTTTTGAGCTGTGCCTCTTCGCATGCTCTTGCTGAATGTGGCCTGAAGCCGATGGCGATCTTGTAGAACAAAGCTCGAAAAACCCGAAGCTTGAATCCAGCGGTTCGGCTGCAGCCAGAAACCACAAAAGGGATATAATGTACAAAAGCACCCGCAGCAGAATCATCGCATCTGTGGACGAGTTCGAGCCGCAGCGCTGCAGACAATAAGTAGCGTCAACAACTGGGTAAACCCCTTTGGCTTCTCGTTCCCATCCACTCCTCCCTGCACCGATATCCTCCTAGCTGTCATACCAGGAACTTGCTGTAAAGGTCTTGTAGAGGAACTTTGCTTCGAAATGCGCGCGGCGCTAGCGGTTCTAGGAAAGCTGCGCGTGTGCAGCAGACGTGAGATTTTGTCAGAGAGGATCGGGGCCCGAGTGTGGAGCCCTAAAAGCCCTACAGAACCCTTGTAGAACTCATCTTTCATGCAAATTGGCCTTACCTAGCTTGCCTTGCATCCGAATGCAGAAACGCAGCTTTTTCCAGGGGTTGAGAGATGCTCCTTCGTGCCCCTTAGGAAGTATATGTGAAACTGGTTGAAAGTAGGCTGGCGGCTTTGCCAGGCAACGCGTGCCCAGGGGATGCTGTATTCCTTACAGGGACTCCTTGCATACCCAAGAACGCCCCACAAACTGCCAAGTTCCTTCCACCCCGCCTCGCAGCAAAGCAAGCTCCATCCAAAGCTTTTGAAATGTACGAAGCCCCAAGCACCCAAGGCTGTTGGCATGGCCTTGACAGCTGACCCGCCAGCCTGCCAAGGGAAGGGGAGGAAGGGGCCCAAGGGGCTACAAAGCTTCTGGGAGGGTTTGGGTTAAGGTATGTTTAGTAGTTCTGGATGTGTTTCTTTTGTGGAGGAGGGGGAAGCCCCCAAATATTGAGGGGTGCTCTTGAGATACCGGCGGAAGACTTCCGTTGCTGTGCCTTTTTGCTGCCGCTGCCTCTCCGCCCTACTCCTTGCAGCTTGGCTCGGGCGGACCGTGGTAACACTGCAGAAAATCCTCGGGTGTATACGTTTTGAACACAGTCTCAAGGTCTTCGGGATGCTTTGCCGCCCGCCTTGCTCACGGTCTCCGTCTCCAACGCGGAGGCACTCTCACGCGCGGCACCGGCGAAGAGGACCCAAGCCTCCAAACGCTGCAACCCGTGACCCGAGACGCTTCGATGCTTCGACGACCACCATGACGACCACGACCACGACCGCTGAGCAGGGGCCACGCCATTTTTTTACTTCCGCATGCACGGCTGATGTCGGCTATGCCCTTTACAATTGGCTGTTTACAACATGCGAACCGTGCGTAGCTTGATGCGACTCGCTCCTTCAGCCAACGGCCCCTGTGCTAGTGGGGGTTCCTGTACACAGAAGCATTTGACTGCAGGAAGTTTCCGACTGCTGCAGGGGGGAAAGGCTGAATCCGGTGCCCCCTGCCAGTGGAAGCGTCTGAGCGTCTCTAGACATAGTCAAAATCAAAGAACAGGCAAAAGCTCTCAAAGGGCCTACGGCTACGGGTGAGCACGCGCGCTCCTTCGATGTGCTTGCCGGGCTCGGCGGGGATGTGACAACCCTTCGTCGAGTCACGCATTATTCCTATATGATAAGCTTTGATCTTCTTATTCAAGCTGTTCTTAGCTTGACTATCATCCCGATGAACCATCATGTACTGCAGTCTTCAGTTCAAAAAAATGATTATTGCATCATCCTGTTCTCAACTGCTTGCAAACATAATCAGGCTAGAGCCAATCAGAGAGCTCAGAGTTCGAGCTCCTCCGATCCCTCCAGGGACTCCAGGGACAGCTCCGCCTCAGGGAATAAAGAGCTTACAGGGCCCACTCACTGTGATGGCGGGTGTCGTGCAAGTGTGCTACTTATGTGTTTCTATGTGTTTCTATGGTAGGTATGGTGCAACCAAGGAAGCTGGACTTCGTCAGAACAAGAACATGGAAACTGATCTTCAACTATCTTTTGCATTTTGTTATCCTCATCTCAAGTACTGCCTCTATAGAGAATTTTCGAGATTTGTAGGGACCTATCCGGAACAGATAGAGGGTTGTCGGGTAGAAACCTACAAGGTCTGATCCAGTAGGTTCCCGAGCGGGCCAAGCAGCAAGATACGGCTCAGGATCGCATACAAGAATTAAACCTGCAAAATTCCAAATCCTGAAACTCCCCAGACTGAACCCTGCTCCCCGCCCAAACCTTCCCCCTTTCACCCCCGCAAAACCTCTCACCCCCAAGCACTAAACAATCCTTAACCCCAAACCGCAAGACACACCTCAAGCCCCCAACCCTACCCCTTCCAACATCCGCAAAACTCCCGAACTACCTCTCATCCTCGCAGCCCTAACTTGCCCCCCACCCCGAAGCACCAAACCACCCACTCATCCCCAAAGCCCAAACTAAAATTCTAAACCCCAAACCCCAAGCCTAAACTTACAGCACATCAAAAAGATATTGATTTACACCCTGAACCCTAATTTAAACCTTTTTTTGCATCCCTTATTTAAACCGAAACTCGAAACCCCCCAGATAGTCCTAACCCACTGGACGAAACCCGAAACCCTGAACCCTCCCGGAACCCTCTCAGATCCTCTCAGGGCCTGGGGGGCTTCTTTGGCCGCTGCGGAGCGCGTCTGCACGAAGGATGGACCCAGGAAGCGCTGCTTGCGGCTAGGCTTCCTTCATGTAAGGCAGGATCATCGATGATAAGATATTGTCATGTGCTACAGTGCTACAGCATATCATAGTAGATTCGAGTACATGTAAGATATATTCAAGGAATAATCGCATGTTAGAGTCGATTATCGTCTTTTGTGGTCTAGAAAAGTCCATGGGTTTATGGGTTGGGGGGTTCAGGGTTTAGGTTCGCGGGTTTGGAGTTGGGCGATTTAAGGCATTGGGTTCGAAGGGTTTGGGACTGAGGGCTTGGGATTGGGGTTTGGGGTTCCGGGTATTTCTTGGCTTAGCACCTGGGCATTTAAGGGGATGAATGAGGGGACAGTATCTTCATCACCATCATGGTCATCATCATCGTCACAGTCACCATCATCATTCTCGTACTTGGTATGACCGTATGAGGAAGATGCACTACCCTATGCCAGTACTCGTATGTTCATCATAGGAATAGTATGTCGTCTTCCTTTCGACCTGACTGACATGCTTGTGATTCAGAATTCCTTTTCGATTTTGCTTTTACCAGGAGTTCAGGCCATTGCATTAGCCTTCTCATTCCAATTCTTATCGCAGATTTCGAACATTCTGATGCTCTAGTGGTTTAGTGAGGACTGTTGTTAGGTGATGATGCGTATTGCTTGCGTCAATCGCAAAACTCGCGCTATGTTTCTCCCAGGGGCTTCCCTGGCTGCGCTGAGAGGAGCGCCGCCGGAGGTGGCGGGGGTGCGTAGCGCATGCAGGTGAAGCCCGGGAGAGGCCAGGTGGCGGCTATGCCACCGGCGCGGGTCCACACTTCACAGCGGCCCAGGGAGTACCTCGGCTGCAACCAACAGTTGTGAAAGAAGAATAAGCATGACGAAGACTGACTAAGAATCACCGTCATCATACCAATGGTTTGCCGTACTCATAGCATGCTTGTAATCATGGCAAGGAAAATTACTCTACCAGACTAACACCTGTAAGCATCCAAAAATGCCATTGCTATTACGAACATACATACTAACTATCAACTAATACCAACACGACTAGCTATTGCAACTTCTACTTATCAAGCTGAGGCTGCTCGATGCCCTTGCAGCCAGGGTGGAGGACGCAGGTCTGCATGCAAGCCTCTAAAGACTGTCCTGCTGGGGCTCCGAATGGATGGGGCAATGGGAGGAGGATGAGGGAGGGGCGGTGGAAGGGGGATGCTCCTTGCAAAGCGTTTCTCGACTAGGATAGGGTCGTTTTGTCATCATGCATGTTTGTTGTTGTCATAATGCTCGAATCTGGCTGTCTATGTATGTTTTTCCAGTTCCTTTTTAGAATCTCAACGTCCGGCTCTTGTTATGCGCGTTCATATGATGTTGCCAATTCTGGGCTTGTCGTCACTTGTCGTTGTTTACTTTTCTGGGTTAGGCCTATCATCGCTGCTATCACTATCAGAATTGTTTTGCTGTTATCATTATTGCATGATCCTTGTCGGAGCTAGCACCATACCATGACGATGCTGAACAAGAAAAGAAAATAGTAATCATGAGAAGATGATGATGAAGACGAAAAGAAAAGCTGCTTAGCAAGTTGCTCTTCTCTTCATGTTTAAGAGAGTCTCTCATTAAGCACCGGAAGTGAAGAGGGGCCCCTGCCTTGGTCCGGAATAACCTCGTAGTAGGCCGGCGAGTTATCGGTGGGGCTCTCTCCGCGGCAGGCTTTGCCCTCGCCTTCCACAAGCTCGAAGCCGCTGGTGTTGAAGGGCAGCGCAAGGCAAGTGAAGCCCGGGACCTGAGGGTCCGTAGAATCATGCTGCTATATGCAGCTTCATTCTCGTTTTCGAGATGACTTTGGGGAATGCAAGACAATTCTTGTTGGCACATGCCCACCTCAGCGGAAGCCTGGATGCCCGCCTGCCGCGTCCACACCTCGCAGCGGCCCGCGCTGAACTCGAGGCCCTTGCATGCCGGGTCATTCAAGCAAGCAGCCTTGCAGGGGAGCTCCATGGAAGGTGATTCTCAACATCAGGGTTGGGTCGTTGTCTGAGGTCTTCCACTATTTCCGCGGCATTTACAACCCTTATTTCGAGACATGCACAAGTACAAAGAGTGTTGGACCGCTATGAGGATCTGGGATTTATCATAGGGCTTCTATCTAACGGAGTGGGAGACTTCATAGAGGATGAAAATCCAAGAAAACAAGATGGTCTTCTTCATGAAACTGCCCTGAAGATTATGGAGGCTTTCCAGCCTTGCACTCGAACAGGCTGTTGATAACAAGGACTGTCATATAGGAGTCAGAGTTGTCGCCAGGAGTGGCCCCGCGGCAGGCACGCCCAGCACCGCCATCCACAGGCTGGAAAGCCTCTGCCCCCGGAGGCTCGAAGCGGTAGCAGCTAAAGCCCTGAAGCGGCATCGTGGCTCGGATCCCACCTGGCCGAGTCCACACCTCGCATCGCCCAAGCGAATACTCGATGCCGCTGCAGAGGGGCTCTGCCATGCATGCATACTTGCATGCCTCCTCGGATGGCACAGCTGCAGTGATTGCCGTGTAGTAGTTTGGGTTGTTGTCGTTGCCGTGAGCTCCGCGGCACGCCTGCCCGGTGCCCCCAGATGCAGGCTGAAAGCCTGAGACCGGCTTTGCCGTAGTTGATGCGGGTCGCATGGTGGTGGTGGTGGTGGTGGTGGTGGTGGTGGTGGTGGTGGAGGTGGTGGAGGTGGTGGAGGTGGAGGAGACAACAGAGGTTGTTGTCGTGGTTGTCGTGGACACCATGGTTGTTGTAGTCGTGCTCACGGATACCAGCGGGGAGGGGTAGTAGACAGTGACTTTCGCACCATTAACGGCCCGAGGTGTCAAGCCATACATGTACTCCTCTTCGGGGTGCTCAGGTTTGCTACTGTACGGCCACACGCCATTGGGGCTTCCCTTTGGACCATGTTCCCCGACCTCATCGGGGAGCCACGTGGTTACCCAGACGACTGCACCGTCCGTGGTGGTGGTCCAGTCTTGGTACAACGGCCAGTGGGTGTGGGCCGTCACGTCCATCCTGTCCGTCACCTCATTGCAGTCCCCATCTAGCTCCACCAGCCACCGTGTGCGATCTTGCTTTTCGAAGCCGTAGAGGAAGCGGGCGTCTGGGCCGCAACGTGCCTCATGCTCGGGGGCGCCCAGCGGCGCGATGCGCACCATGCGACCTCAGCCCCGCCAAGACGCGCACACCGGCTACAAGTACCTGTATGTTCACTGTCTTTGTGATTGTGTTTGGCATCAAGGAGGTCAACGCATGGCCAATTATTAATCCCTGTCCCCTGACAGTTATTCTGTTTAAGATCTTTCCTTTGGTTGCCTAATTTGGGATCTATGTGCCAGTTTGGAGGTCAAGGCGCCCTTGGCGCCATCGCCACAGCAGCCACCATTGGAGCCGCAGGGCATGCATCCAATAGAGGGCTCAATGACCTGCCGCTCTGTCAAACAAGGAATATGAAGAAGAACAGGAATGAAGGAGCAGAATCAAAGAAATCATGAAAAAAAAAAGCTAGCAAGAAGAAGGAAAGACGAAGCATGATGGTCATGCTGCTGCTGCTGCTGCTGCTGCTGCTGCTGCTGCTGCTGCTGCTGCTGCTGCTGCTGCTGCCGCTGCCGCTGCCGCTCATGATGATAATGATGATCGCAATGAGAAAATCAGAACTACTGGAGCATATGGCAGCATAGGAACAAACTGCCCAGCAACGGCTCCGAACAAACTGCCTCAGCAAAACATGGATATTGTTCGAACTTTCAAGGGGCTATAAAGCCACAGGAGTACAACACGAACAACGAAGTATTCTATCGTAGAAGCATGCAGTTCCCCGTGCCACGTCTGAAAAAATTAGAGGAAGCAACAGGGTTTGTGGAAGCTGCTTAGCACGAGGCCGGGCAGATCGATTCAGAGGCAAGAGGCACCCTGAGTTGGTGCTCCCAAGCGAAAATGGAGAACCTATCGCAGATTTCTTCTCTTGAAACAGAACGTTCGAGAGCTCTTGAAAGAAGTGGCAGGTTTCCTAAAAGTGGTTTGCGTGCATTTGCTATCGTTTGCTCATCACCTACTTTGCAAGTCATTTGGCCTGTCAAGCAAAAAGGGCTGGCCTGGCCAGCGTGTGAGGCATAAAGCCTTGTGAATGGACTAGTCTGACGGAGCTTTGCTTCAGTCTGCCTCTTTCTTACCCCGCCATTGCCTATGTTCTGCAATCCATTGGCTGCCTGCCCTGCGCCCCCGATGCCTCTCCGCTGGAAGCGGCGAACTCTTCCGTTAGGCCAGAACCCTAAACCCCTAAACCCCTAAACCCCTAAACCCCTAAACCCCTAAACCCCTAAACCCCTAAACCCCTAGACCCCTAAACCCCTAAACCCTAAACCCTAAACCCTAGAACCAAAACCCCTAAGCCCCAAGCCCTAAACCCTAAACCCTAAACCCTGAGGGCCCCTAAACCCTAAACCCTAAACCCTGAGGCACAGATCAACAGATGCGGCCTTTTTCCGCACATTGCTGTTGCAGAACAACGTTCTGCGTGCCGGAGAGATGGCAGAAAGCAACATTGAAATGCAAAACAAACAATGCATGCTTCTGTGGCACATCAGCTGGACGAAGCGTGTTCCCTCCGTTTGGTTCTACGACGCCGCCCCTGACACTACCAACATCGAAGCAATGTTAGCAATGATCTGGTACCGAGACTGATTTTGTCTAGTTGTCTACTTATGACGTATCTGGTGCCCAGCGTGTGATGCGTTTTTTTTCTCGCCTTGTTCGACGTCGGAAAAGTGGATGCCTCGTTAAAAACGGTTAACAAAACGACTGGGGAGCAATCATGCCAAACAGACAAGATGCGCATGTTCTTTGCGCATCAAATTGGCGGAAAAAACCTTCTTCTTGTTGGTGTGCATATCTGTTCATAAAAAATTGGCTGCAGTGGGACGGGGCAATATGCGAATAGTTTCCACACATCAATCAAATTTTGCAGCAAAACCGCTCATGCGTTTTGCATCTCTGTTCGCCAAGCAAGCCTGAGCAAAGAAGACGAAGAAGCGGCAGCAGTGGACATACCAGACATCAAAGCATGGCGCCAACAACACACTAGCACTACTGCATGTTTGTATAGACTTTCTGCTGGAACCAACTGTTCACCTTTCATTGTGGAAAGGTCTGAATGTACACAATTTGGACCATTTCCATCTAATAACACATATTGGTCACACAAAAGGCCTCCCTTGTTATTTCTGCAACTGGAAATATCAGTCAACACGAAAACAACCGCTCAAAAGTGGCATCCCCATTACATTGCCCCCCCAAAACGAGAAATCTTGAATGAATTGGATCCTTGCTGTATTCGCCTATATTGGCATCTAACGACAGGCATCCTTACTGCGATGGCCTCTAGGGTGGTACCCCTATTATGTGAGGACTAACAAGGTGCCAGAAAGTAGTTTGGAGGTTAACGAACACAATCTTCTGAGGTGGTATAGCCTTTCCTTTCGCTGGCAATGGCAGCTGGTGGAGATCCTGCTCTACTTCTGGCGCATCAAGCACCGGTGGTTTCAACGCTCGCAATGCCGGAGCATACAATTAAAAAGGAAACGTCGCACCTCCGTTGAACGGCGCGGCGTCAGCAGAATCTAATCACACTTGTTCTGTTGCGAACAATTTCAGCTTGTTGCAGATATTGATAATAACAACTTTAGACTCTAGGCTTCTTGCATCTAGCAAAGAAAGGGCCTTGTAGCTGCACCAGGGACCCAACACGTCAAATGAAGCAGACAAGCCATGGGGGCGCCATGGATCCGGCACGACCCAAACGGCACAGTGGAGGGAGCCCTGCAAAGAGGCATGAAGGGATGGATCTGGCACCGCGGCCCATCCTACCACGATGAAAAGAAGGACCGGACCTATAAAGGGAGCCATGATGTGGAGCCGCAACCCGCCCATCCAGCCATCACAAGTTGGAAACAATGAAGGGAGCTCCCTTTCAGCCGCCACACAAAGGCAGAACTATGAAGGGAGCCGGCGCCGCAGCCCTCTCATCCAGCCAGCCCGGCCTACCTTGTCTCTGAGGAGATAACGCCAAGCGCTACTGCTTGGGAAAAAAATCACGGCGACGACCAAAACCACACACACACACACACAGACAAAACCTGATGATGATGATGATGATGATGATAGAATGAACGTTTGTTTCCTGTCATCTCGCCAGGCAGCAGTAAATGAACTCATCCGCCTGGAAGGTCCCCTTTCTAGCAAATCCACACACTGACCCATGAATTTTCATTAGCAACGCAACTCATGCTCATGGTCCTTCCCTTTCCACAACAACAATATATGTGCTGATCCACCAACCCGTAATCCCATCCCCCTAAGCGTTCACCCCTAACAATGCGCACACTCACTCCTGTCCCCTACACCCGAACCCCTAAACCTCGACACCCTGATTACGCCCAAACCCGCAACACTAAACCCCAGACCCTTTCGGGCAACGGACTTTGGAGGCTGCCGGCAAACATGCAACTTCTCAAAAGTCACATCACGCAATCTCACGAAAACTGTCCTACCCTAAGCCCCAAACCCCAAACATCCCCAAACCCTAAACCCCCAAACCCGAGGCCTTCCACTCTGTGATCTCACCGAGGCGGGTGACTTTGGCACAGACGTTCCCCTGGGTCGAAGGGAAACCAAGGATCCAGTCCTCGCCACACGGCCTCGAAATCGGGAGGTAAACGATGGGAAAATAAAGAGGTTTCGGAATTATTGGAATTAGAGGAATAGGAATCGTAGGAATTACAGGCATTATAGGAATAGTAGGAACTCTAGTAATCATGGGTACTCCAGGAATATAGATATTCTAGGAATTGTGGGAACTGCAAGAATTATAGGAATGATACAGAATGAAGGAATGTGAGGGTGTTGAAACCCATCAAATGCCTGGTGGGGTGGGGGGGGGGGGGAGATAAAGAAGTATAGTACTACGAAATCTGGCCGAAAATGTTTCTGCAACCATAAGAGTAGGAGCAAACGCTGGCTTAACAAAAGGAATGAAAATGGAGGCGGAATGTTTCGCTGTAACATACTGTATCAGCTTTATGAACAAGACATTATCGTACTAGATCACATTCGGAATTTAAAAACAAAGGGTCATGATGATAATGAACACAACCGCATCACAATCGCCTGCCTGATGGCATTGGCTTGCAGGGCTTTGTCCTGGTCCTCGTCACCGTAGCCATACTCATAGGCAGGGGGTGGATATTCCAACCTCATTCCACCAGAGTGCCCCACATACTTGAATGCACCAGCCGGCTTCGTATAATTGGGTTCTTCTGCCAAGCCATACTGCTGCATCTTTGCCGCGCCGTAAGTATGCTTGTAGAGGCCAATGTCCTTGAGGATTGGGTGGTAACACCAAGCTGCTGACTTCTGATGATCGCCTGTGCCCGTGCGGTGGTGGTCCCGCCATTCGCCATTCGCTTCCACACGGGGCTCCACAAGGTCGCGCGGAACGGGGTACTTGTACTTCGCATACTCTGAGTCGCTGATCCCCGGCGCATCCCGATGGTAGGTGTGCATGGCATAGCCTGTGTGGTGATCCACGGTGGCCCCATACCAGGCAGTCCACATACGCTGCGACGGCGCATACAGCAGGTAGCCGTAGCCTGCCGACCGCTGTGCCCACCAGGCCGAGAGGGGGAAACCTTGGCATGATGTCTTCAGCTTCGGGGTTTGGAAAGGCCGATCAGAGCAGGAATGCATAAAGCATGTTGAAGAACTCAAACGAAACTCTATCAAATGCCAAATGGCTCCCCCAAATCCCCGTGTTTGGAGCTGTGACCGTCTCCTGATACTGCTTGCCGATCTGCCATGGCAGTCGGTGCTCCTCCATGGAAGTGCTGTTCACCTCGCACACCGCCACGATCATCGCCGCCTTGTCCAAATGGCTGTTGGTGTGCTCCACCCACGGGTGCCAATATTTTATGCACAACGCCCCAACCACACCATCCTCGGTCATGTCAATGCCACCGGCACGGACGAAGCCATCGAAGACATGGCTCTTCTCCAGGGTCGGCGCTTGCCCCCGCGGAATCTTTAGCTTGCTGACGTAGACGCGGCCCTCCGTGCCGTTGGCACCGGCCTTGCCGTACTTGACATCCGCCGTCCAGGAGAAGTAGACGGTGTCCGGCCGAACTTTGTCCGACACCGCACTCATGGGAGAGGGACCGCGGAAGATGTGGCCATGACGCACCGGGCCGGCAATGAGCTCGGGCAGGCACACAGTGGACACCGTCATTCGATCCGACACCTGCAAATGCTCATCGTAGCAGCCAAACTTGTCCAACTTTGGAGCGACCTCGCAGTGGTCCCCTTTGTAGCCGTTGATGCAGCTGCAGGCACCGGTGTTTTCGTTGCAAGAGCCCCCAAAAGGTTCATTGCATTCCACCGCTGCACAGATGCCGGCCTCACACGACTCACCTTCTACTCCTTCATCGCAGGCACACGCCACCTTGCTCTCAGGCACCTCCATATCAAACTGGTTGGCCATCAGCGACGTCCACCTCGCACCCCAGCCGCCATCGAAGCTCTGGTCATAGAACGTGGAGGCGCTGCACAGGCCTTTGCCACAGGACCTCGAGCAAAGCACAGGCCAAACCTCTAGTCATTCTAGGTCCAGAAGTGTGCACACATAAAGCATGAAACAAATAGAAAACATACACATGAATACATGCACATGTCTATATGTGTATATATATATACTCGCCCCCCCCCAGCAAGACCACAGTTTTCCAACTATATCAATGACATTAACTTCTGCACAGCGTCCTCTTCTGCAAAATTAAGGATCGTAACATTAATATTGATTTGAAAGTAAGAAAGTATGTTTAGAATACTTAAACCCCAAACCCTAAGTATGAGCATGTCTACACCTTCTGTATTTCCCTTGGGTTGGTTTGTCCTCGCGGCGCCCTCAGAAGTAGGGAACGACTCCAAAGCAGGGCTATGATTATGATAGGGCAGCTTCGGCTTTCTACCCAATTTACAGAAAACACAATTTAGCATTCGCTTTATACGTCATATACAACATCCTAGGCAAAACTGACTTGATGGTGAAGACCTATACATGTGAATATATATATATATATGTAGATATCTATATATGTGTTTTTTAAATATACATATATGTGTATATACGCACCTATGGGATGTGGCTATATATCGCTGATCTAGACGCACACATACACACACACACACACACATTCGCACATACATGCATACATGCATACGTGCATGCATGTATGCGTACAGACAGACAGGCAGACAGAGACACAGACAGACATACAGGCAGACGGACACACAGCATCATATTGGCACACAGACATAACATACAAACAGAACTACATATATGCATTTATGTACGTATGATTACGTATGCATGCATGCACGCGTGCACGCATGTGTGTGTGTCTCGCAATATATCATATGTATGCATGATGCATGCAGGTATGTAATACACGTATATGTCTAGATTCCATCGTGGGCAAGATGGCGTTTTTACCTAGTGGCCCCTCACCAGCCTCTCCCCGCACTCGCCGCAGCCTTCGGCGGACTTCTCGAACTCCAAGGTCGAGAACCTGGCCTGGGGCTTGTTGGTGTCCTTGGCAACCAACGAGATCTCAATCATGCCAGCGTTCGTGGGAACGCACATGAAGTGGTAGATGTCTGTGTGGTGATGGGCCCACTTACCAACATAGTCCTCCTTCACTTTCTTGCCATTGATCAGAATGTCCCACTTCTTCCCTCCTCTGTCTTTTGTTTCACAGAAGAGGTACTTCACCGTGTAGTAGCTCACAGGGGCATCGGGCGCTTGGAGGTTCACGCGGAAGGTCTGATTTGGCCAGCCGGCTTCACGGCTGTAGTGGTGCCTTAGCTCTTAGAATGCCCTCTCCAGAAAGCCAAACGAACCATCCCTCCCAAGCAAAGAAAAAGCAAAGCTGAAGCCAAAGGTGATCCCAAGCACAAGAGCGCATCGTAATCCTGGTCATACTCGAGTGGCCAGTTTCGGCAGGTGTGCTTGCCCAAGGTCTCGTTATCATCCCCAGCGATCCAATTGGCTCGATACCAATCCCGGGGCTTGGAGCCCACGTAACCACCCCAGGTGTAGGTACTGTAGGGTGTTTCGGAGTGGTACCAGAGTCGCCCAAGGCTGTCATTATAGTTTGCCTTGTAGCCACCGTTGATGCCTAGCCAGTCCACACCGGGGCCCTGACTGTTGGCCCACACTCTGCTGGAGAGTGCTCCCAGAAGAATGGCAGAGACCCACGGCACCATGCCACAACGGCCCAGTGACCTAAATTTCTGCAACTACTGCTTCTCTACGTATTTGCAGAAGGCCTGAGCCAAGGGGAAGGCTGACATCCTGATTTTTGCACACGGGACTTGCTGTCTCGACATCTTCCCTTCATGGACTCTCCTGTGCCTCCTCCGCCTCTTCCTTCGCGTGCACGCTGATCAGGGGGTGGCCTGCATCTATCCAGAGATGCATTCTTGAGGCAGCTTTGGGACTGAGATGCAAGCGCTAATGTAAGTTTGAGTGCATCACAGCGTACGTTGCCACGATGTCTGGCGATGGCTTCACTGCAACCATGGACTTTCATCAACATCGCCATCGGGAGTGGAGATTCCACATTTGCAGCACACGAACTGCTGTTAGCATCTGCGCGGCACACATGTGACCAAAACCTCTAGCAGAACGAGGACACCAATCAACATGTCCCTGTAAAAGAACAACTGAATCACACAATTCGCACTGGCTCTTATATGGCAAAGCAAAAAAACGACGTGGCAAGATTGTATCTGCGCTGTGCAGATAGCTGCAAGCTTCTGCTGCCCCTTGCACGTGTCATGCAATTAGCCTGCGGAGTTCGGGATTGGTCGATCCCGAAACCTTCAATCCTCAGCTATTTAGAGCCGTACAAGTGCTGCAACAGTGTTGCAAATCAGTCTCCCAAGATTAGACTTCCCGCGCTCTCTACAGCTCTCTTCAATCTAGAATTCTATCGCTGCACAAGGTTGTTCAAGCTGGCACGTTGCAACATGAGCCATCGTCTGTGCCCAAACCTCTTTGCTTAATACCCTGCCGAGGCCTCCGACTCGCCCAACATCGACCCATCGCAGAACACAAGAGTCAGCACGTAGAGACGTAGAGGAGCACGAGATTCACCAACGCCTGAGAAAGACACGCACAACGAAGTGCAGTATTTCATGTGCCGTGCTCAAGCAAAGACTCACGGCTGTTTCGCGGCGCAAAAGGGGAAAACTCTGTGGATCTCTGTGGTTCTACACCTGAGGTCGGCTTTGTACAATGAAAATTCGCTCCCCGACATCCACGCAGCCTTCAATGTCCTGCGGCACGCAATCGAAAGCTTCCTCAATCGCCCAGCCCACCTCAGCGATGCGCTTCAGCAGCTCTCTCCGATAGCTGGCATCTTCCACGATGCCCAACCGATGAAGTCGCTGGAATCCTCCTTTATCCTCCTCTGCACAAACGGATTCGAACAGACCAGCGCCGGCAAACCCCTCCAAATCCTCGGCATTGCTGTCAGACCTGAAAATCAAACAGGGCTGTGCGTGCAAAGCCACGCTCTTGCTAGGGTACGAGAGAACCCGCGGCTCGCCACCCCCTCGACGCACTGCAAAACTCAAGGCTCTGCCAGAGAAGTTCCCGACCAAAGTCTCTCCTCTACCGGCAACGATCTCTCCATACAGCTCATCTTTGTCTTTCGTGAAGGGATTGACTGTATGGAGCACGAAGGCATACTTGGCCTCGACAAGCTCCTGAACTAGCACCGCCATGTTCAGGTCATGAAAGCTCCGCCCGGCCTTGGCCAGTGATACCCAGGGTCGAAGAGCAAACATCGACGACCACACACCTTTGATGGCTGGCCAAGCATCGCCATCCCGAAACAACTTGCTTAGTCGGTCCTCGCCGTCCCGACCGCCCACTTCTTTCATGGCCTTAGCAAGCGCCTCCTTCAGGGCCTTGGGGAAGTGCATAGACTCCACGACCTGCTGTGCCTCCTCAAAGATGATCTGTGCATCCTCGTTCGAGGTTGATGGCTGCAAGCGACTGACAACCTTTTCCAGCATGGGTAGTACATCCTTATTGCATTCGTCTCGCAAGGACTTTTGCATGGTTCCATATGGCAACGCCACGGCCTGTGGCGTGAGTATTCCTGCGGGTAGCTTCGGCCGCAGCAGGGCCAAGTTCAGGCTCTTAGAGCCTACGTTTGTCCGTGTCATTTCATCCGGGCGCACACACCAACGGCAGCCCAGGTCGTCAGTCAGATTCATCTTCACCTTGGTCTTGGATGTTCTAGCTACCGTCGCGTTGTCGGCTGCCTGTTTTTCTGCCATGTTTGTTGGCCTCTCAACCTCTGCGATGGTCAGGTTTCCATCAGGCCTACACCTGACTTCCACCCACTTGTCGGCAAAGTCGGCGGCCAGGTTCTCTGATATCTTCGGGTCGAAGCAGGTTGCGAGAAGCACCCCGAAATTTCTCGCCCGCACGGCGCAGTGCGACAAGATATCAGGTGCGTCCTTGGCACTTCGCACCAGCACGCCCAGAACTCCGTCGGGAACCTCCTCCTCGCCGCTCACCGCCCCACTCAGCAAAATGGTCGGGGTCTCGAAGACCTCTCCTTGCACTCCCGTCATTTTGTCGATGAGTCTGAACATGCCCTGGATAGGTTTTTCAATGGGAGAGACCATCTGCCAGGGTGGCAACTGTGCAATGCCCCTCAGTACCGGCTCCAGCCGTTGCAAGATGAGGCTCACGGCCATTAGCGACGTGCCACGCAGCACCTCGTCAACAAAGATGTCGATATTCTTCCTGGATACCCCGACGGCCTCTCCAAGAAATGCTGCTTTCGGACCCATCAGTCTCTGACATTTGTCAGAAAGCTCGCCAACAACCCGGCTGATTCGATCCACCAATGCCTTCAGAAGCAATGCGGAGTCCTCGCTGTGCTGCGAGGCACAGCTGTGAGCAAAGGAGTTCCAGTCGGCAAGGAGCGCCGGGAGTTCGGGCTCAAGGGGCAACTGCCCCATAAGGCCAATTAACAAGGCCCGCATCTGGTCAACAAGAGGCGGAAGCCGTACCTCGCCGGCAAGACCCTGGACCAAGACGCTCTGCTGAGTCTCCAGTGTGTAGTCAATGACAAGCAGCTGCTTGATCACTCCGGCCTCTGTATCCTTATGGTTCAGAATGGCGAGGACGTCATCTCTGGCTCCGGCAACTCGCATAAACTTGCCATGGCCCTCGTCCAGGCTGTTGAATCCCGTGCCGCCCATGTTGCAAACGTCGCGCAATCTGCCTTGCAGGTTGCTGGGCAGGCATTCCTTGGCGTGGTCGACTGCCTCAAGAATGGAATGGGCTTGCGGCAGTCGCCATCTGTCTTCTGCTGCTCACTCCCGCTCGCTCTACGTTACTATCCAATTTCCTCTTCTTCTTCTTCTTCAAAATTATTCTTCTTCTTTCTGGGCTTTCTCTCTCTCTCTCTTCACTCCCCATCGGTGTTTCTCACCTTTCTCGCCGTGCTGCAAGCTGCAAGTCCAGGGCATCGTGCACGCTTCTCAAGATGCCGAGATACCTCTCAAAGTCGCTGATCAAACGTCCAATGTCCGTCTGAACCATGTACGGCTCTGTTGTGATTGGCCGGCTGTAGGACGTCAGGTGCTCCTTCGTGATGTTGTGTTCGGCCAGCACTCGCCAGTAGACCTCCATGTCGCCACCACTCTTGAGATATGCGATGATAGCACGGCAAATGCCGATGTCGGCCGGAGTTGTGTTGTTGTGCAGCTTCTGGTGCCATTGTTCGTAGTACGTCCCGTGGATTTCCTTGATGTGGTGGGCATGCATGATTACCAGGATCTCGTCCCGAATTTTCTGCCCGGCCGATCCCCCGCGACCCATGGTGGCCAGCGTCCAGCGGATCCAGAGGCGGCAGCTGGGTGTGGACTTCCACAGCTCGGCAAGCCGCTGTGTGAGCTGGTTTATCGTGGCCGCAAGCATTCGAGGCTGCGTGTTGATGTTCCGCTCCCATGTTAGCAGCTGCTGGAAAGAGAAGCGCTGCCAGACAAAGATCCAGCTCCAGAACTCTTCTTCATCACTAGACTCGTCGACGAGCGGCATGGAAGGTGTGCGAGACCATACAGCCTTTCCTGAATCGACCTGGAGCAAGGTCCTCCAGGATTGCAGGCGTCGCATCTGGACGCCCGAGATCTTTTCAAACGTGTCCAGAAACTCAAGGCAATGCTCGTAACGCCTCTTCAATGACATGTGGTTGCTCATTTCTTGCTCCACGATTTTGTCGGCCACTTGGGTCCAGGTGCCCTCACCCTTCTCGGCCTTCCACTTCCTTTGATGGGAGAACCGGACCACAGCGTCCCCCCCGTCAGCCGGTTTAACCCAGATGCCACCTTCGACAGTTTTTAACACGAAGCCGAAACCACCAATGTCGGGCACAATCGTCGTCTCGTTGGAGTCCGTTTCCGCGTGGGCACTCAGCGAGAAGTCTAGACCATGAATCCCGACGTCCATCTTGCGCAAAGCTGCCTGGCATGCTTGGTGGTCGACGTATCGCATGTCCGAAGGCCACTGTACTGCATTGATCTGAGTGGCCGATGTCCATTCTCTGGACTGAGGAGTTTCGAAGACACCGAAATGCATCAGGCACGCTCCCAGGCGCGGATGAAGCCAGGCTCTGATTTCAACCTTCGCACGACTGTGGCCCTTGGAGATGCATGCAACATCCAGCGAGCCAGAGTCTCCCTGGAGCTCGAAGGCTGTGAATGAGATGTCTGCTCGTGACTGACGTGCTCGCCTAGCCTCTAGGAATTGACTCCGCGATGCCATCATGAATCGATCGTCATCCAACCTCGGTGCTGGGAGTGCATAGCTCAGGTGACTGAACAGCTGGATCTGTGGCTCTTCGGTGCTCGCTCTTTCCTGGATGCGGTCCCACTCCTCGTGGCGCGGCATCTCGAACTCGAAGTCATGGGGCCCATGCTTGATCCATCGATTGGCTGCACCATCATGGAAGACAAACATCAGGAACTTCTCCATGTCTGATGCTGGCACTTCGAAAGAGGCCTCCCATTTGTCTGTGCCTGCGCGAACTAGTGGCACTCGCTTGGAGAATTTCCAGGCTCGATCCTGCCCAGCTAGACCATACTGCAGAACCAGCGCCGTCTTGGCATGCACGAGTAGGTGAGTGTGACACGAGGCCGGGGCTGCAGTTGCCAGTACGACAACCTCAATGCCATAATTGCCTGGGACTGTCCAGGAGCTGCTTTTCGCCTCCGGCTCCGCTCGCTGCATTTCCTCAACGAATGTGCTGAAAAGCTTGGATGCCCGCCTTTGGAGCCGCACTGGACTGAAGGCGATTGGTTCCTTCGGGGCCTGTGCCTCAAGCTCCACGCCCTTCTGCCTGATGCCTTTGGGAAGCTCGAAGGCGAAGTCTCGGCCAGCATCCTTCAGCCATTGGTCTACGCTGGGGTCGTGAAGAACGAACATCAAATATTTCTGGATGTCCTGGGCCTTGAGTTTGATCTGCCCTTTGTAAATATCGCCCACAGCCTTTTGCAGGCTCAGCCTCGTAGACGACTTCCATCGATGATCATCACCCGCGGGGCCATACTGTAGCACTAGATCACGGCCGGATCGCACAAATGCCTGCACATTGCAGCAATGACCATCTGGAAGCGCTAGAATTGCCACCTCAACGCCGCTCGAGCTGTAGCATGAGACCTTGGCAGATGGGTTTTCCTTCGTCGCTTGCGTGACCAGATCTCTGAAGCCACGACTATCGGCTATGTTGGAGAAGTCAAGAAAAAAGTTTCGGGATCCATTCTTGAGCCACTCATTGGGCTTCTTGTGCAGAACAAACTGGAAGCCCTTAAGTCCTGCAGCGGTATTGATCTCCAACCGCACTTTCCGCTGGTTTTGACGATCGGGGCGCGGGAAAGGTGTCTGCAACGCGCCTGGGACTCGGCTGGCTGCTGGGACGGTGCGAGCCTGGCTCTCGACAGGCACCATCCACTCCTCCGCACTCTGCTTGCCCACTCCCCAGTGCAGGAGCAAGTCACCAGGACCCAACCCGGCAGCTGTGATGTCAAACACCATCCAGCCTCCATCAGGCTCTGAGACCGCATCGACGTATACACCAGGCTGTCTGAGGTGCGCAGAACTGCTGCTCCAGAGCGCGCCCATTGCAATCACATGCAAGCACAAACCAAGCTGGAGTGGGTTGGACGACTGGGCCCTGGTGTGTCACTAGCTTGCCTAGTGGGGCGTGTGTCGCTACAAACAAGACAAACTCGAAACAGTTGAAGCCTCATGCCTGAATTGCACACTTCAGTCACTTGTCCAAATGGACCAAATCATCTTGAATCTAAGGTGGAATATGGATCTCAATGTGTGAGTATCGGTGCAAGCACCAGACTTGAGTCGCAATCACAAAGCATGTGTTGTGCTCGGTCTCCCTCGGACCGAAGGCCGGAGCAAACTCGCGCAGGACTTGCTCGTCCACCTACAGGTCCTCGAAATGGATCAAAGTACCTCAAAGTACCTCAAAATGTGCCGAGTCGAGCCTCGTCGGTGCTGGACAAGGCCGGCCATGCGGAGGTTATCAGCACAGCCTCGTACGGGAGACAAAGCTTGCGGTGCGGGGAAGTATGGGAATTTAATAGGAATGCAATCGCATATATGAATCCAATATGAACTTCATTGGAATCTAGAAAGAATGTAAAGAACCCAAATGGAATCCAACAGGAGCTTAGTCGGAATCCCCGCTCTCACCCAGAGGCAGAAGAGCACAGGTCTAATCGCAAAACACGACGAAAAAGTGCTAAACACGAGAAAGGGTTTAAGGTCAAACCACAAGTTGGCCTCTGGAACCACTGCTCTCGCCAACTGTTGTAGCTAGGTCCGTTTCCCTCTTTTTGAGCACGTTTCCAACAATTTTTGATTCGACCCATGCTCTTCGGCCTCTGGAACCACTGTGGTCCAGACTGTGGTCAACATTTGTGGTCAGACCTGTTCTCTTCTCCACTCCCAGGAATTTCGGCCGGATCTCCTCGAATTTTTCTTGGCTGGGTGCAGATGCAAAAACATTCCCCTGATGTTGCCAGGATGCCCTTGAAGCATTTTTCCGATCTTTTCCCATTTGTTTTTTTCGGGGGGGGGGATGTGGGGGGGGGCTTTTTGTTCTACTCGTGCAACATCAGTGTTCAAGGGCCTATGCACTCGTACCTGGCTAACATCAAAGGACCGACTGTGCATAAAACACATCAAGGAAGCAGTGTACTGATCCATAGTAACATACCTGTCAGTGAGAACTCCTTTCGGAACCAAACGTAGCACCCCAAGAAAGAACACCCCGCAAAGAACCACCCAGCCCATGCCACCCCTCCCATCCCCTCTCTGCCATCGGGGGTGCACGGGAGGAGGCGTTACTGAACTGATCTTTTTGGAACATCCGTGTCTGAAACTTTCGAATCGCTGCAAAACCCACCTGATCGTCGAGCTCCACCGATCTCGCTGGTTTACCAGACTCCAGAGCAACAATGATGGGCTCCAAAGCCGCCTGTGGGCCGATCTGTTGACTCTGCCTCTTCTCCGCGCTCCTTTCTCCAGTTCTGCATTCTCTTTCCGACTCCTTACCCGCCCACATCCTGAGGAGCTTCTGGCTCAGTTTTCCCACTTGCATCTTCTGGTGTCGTTTCCGCAGCAAAACAGCAATGGCTGTCCTTGAACTCCTTGGCACCATCTACTTTGCCAACTATGTCGCGCTGCAGCTCCTTGATCTGGCATCACAACATGCGGAGGAGGGTATTCATAGACAAAGCAACACCACTGAGCAAGAACACGTTGACTCTCTGAGGGGTGACGTGCCAAAGTGGTGCAGGAAGTCTTGGGTGCAGGAGGAAGGTGGACCCCGAGCTTTTGTGAGTCACAACCCACCACCACCACCCGCACCAACCACCACCACCCACCCTTGCCACCACCCTTACCACTACCATTACCACCACCATTACCACCACTACTACCACCACCATTCCCACCACAACCACATCCTCGTCATCGCAGGCCTGATACCTCCCACATTTACAAGGCCTCTGCTCATTCACATCTTTCCCAGCCACTGCTCTTCAGAGTGATCTCCATACCTTGTTCTCGCACCGGTCAAGATCTGACAGTAAGATCTCAGCATTGATTGTCTACATGTCACGAACGGGATCGGCACTGCCGGCCGCCAAATGGACGGAAGGGACAACAAGACTTGGACCATTTACCACCAAAAAAACTACTGAGGGCTCTTGGGGGGGGGGAGGGAGGGGAAAGCTAATCACTGGCACCTTTCTTCCTAGTACAGAAGCAGGCTTCTTCCGACCCTGAAAAAGCAAGCAAAAGCAGCCAGACTGCCAGAGTCATGACGCGTGAGAATATGATCACCTGCAGCAGCCTCGACGTGAGTGACGTCCTCGCTCTCGAGCGAACCATAATCATAAGCATGAACAAAGAAATTGCAGCGATGGAGTCAGAAGCCGCATGAGCAATGCTGACGCTACTTCTGCTTCTACCACTGTGTTGGTCTATGTGCTTGCTCTAGAGTATATAGAAGGATGGAAAGAAGGTCCGCAAGCGATGCGCTCTTTTAAGTTGGAGGCCGGCCGCGGCTAGGACATCCATCAGGATGCAGCGACAGCCACATCCAGCTCAGCTTGGATTTCCCGCTCGAGGCGAATTCTTTCAGCGTTCTTCTTCTGCATCACCTTGCGCAGCGCGTAGATCTGCGGCTGCGACATCCCTGTTGGATTCTGTAGCATGTCCTGCATCTCTGACACTTCTTGCCGCAAGGCCTCCACTTGTTGCAAGCGCGGGTGTCTAGGAGCAGCGTTAGAGTTGTTGCAGCCCGTGCCGGCGAGAGTAGCAGCAGACGACGATGGCAGGGATGCTGGAAACCGGTCATTGGCACCAGGACCTGCCCCTGAGGCAGGTGAAGCATCTGCTGCATCATCTACCTGCTGCACGCGGGTGCGAAGGAAATCCCTGACTGCTGGCCAGCCCTTCTGTGCCAATCCTATGCGGATCTCCTTCCACGGATTCCCATGCAATGACACAGACCTGAGGGATGACCAATCTCCAAATCGCGGAGGCAAACCCAGAAGGGAGTTGTTAGCGAGCAGCAAGGTGTTGAGAGATGGCAGGCTCTCTACCAATGAGCTTGGCACGGAGGTAAGCTGATTCCCTTCAAGATCCAGTGTGCACAGTCCTGGGCTCGCTGCACCTCTGCCCCCGAACGGGTGCACACTTTTGATCTTGTTGGAGTTCAGCCGCAGCTCCACAAGAGATGGGCACCCAAGCGCAAGTGCCGGTGGAATCGCCGCTAGTTGGTTGGCGGAGAAGTCTGCGAACCTAAGATCCTGCCAACCAGCAGCTGAAGGAGGCAGACCAGACAGCGCATTCCGGGACGCTGAAAGATGCCTCAATCTCGACAGAGCAGCTAGACCCGGTGGCAGAGCCTGGAGCCTGTTGCCATCCAGGTGTAACTCGAGCAACGTCTCAGTGACAAGGCGCAAGTCAAGCAGGTGAATGTCGGACAAGGAGTTCTGGGAGAGGTTCAACATCTCGAGACCTTCTGGCAGCTCAAGCCCATCAGGAAGCTGAGTGAGATCATGGCCAGACAAAAGCAGCTTCCGGTTCGCCGCTGCATCTCTCACGGCCATAGCCATGGAGTCCTCCTGCATAGCGTTTGCCTGCGCTTTCAAGTCTTCAGGTAACCTGTCTCTCAGACAGCGCTTCAATGCCTCGGTGCCCCCTCGCAAGACCTGTGGCGGCAGTGATTTCAGCGGGTTGCCCTGCACATTGATGCGCTTCAGAGCCGGTAACAGGCCTAAACCCAGTGGCAGCTGACCAAGGTTGTTGTTGGAAACATCTAAAGTGTTGAGACACCGTAGATCTGCCATACCCTCTGGAAGCGTCTGCAATTGATTGTTGTGCACAAGCACAACTGACAAGCGAGCACAGCCACAAAGCGAAGCAGGAAGTTCGATCAGGGCATTGAAAGCAGCAGAGAGACAGTCCAATGATGCATCTGCTGGGAAGGCAGGCAGCTGCGACAATGCGTTCTCATCCAGCTTCAGCGTTACCAATTTGCGCAGTGATGCCAAGGCATGCGCATCAATCCGTGAAATCTTGTTCTTAGACACATCCAATTCCTGAAGTCTCGGCAGCTCCATCTTTGCCAGATCTGATAGCGCATTCTCGCCCGCCTTCAGCCTCAAGAGCCGTGGCGGCAGGGTGGGTAGGGCTCGAAGTTGGTTCTTGCACAAGTCCAGGACCTCCAAGTTGGCCAGTCTGGCAATGTCCTGGGGCACGGTTTGCAGGCGGTTGCCAGAAAGAACCAGCTCCACCAGAGAGCTGCAGGCAGCAATTCCATCCGGCACTTGGCAGAGAGCATTGTTCCCTAGATGCAGTGCCTTGAGGGGCAAGCTCACCAGCTCCAGCGGCACTTCCGCAAGGCGGTTGCCAGATGCCAAGAAGATGCTGCAGTCCACGAGCTTTTCGATCTCCTTCGGAAGCACTGTCAACTGGTTATTCGAGATGTCCAGCTTGGTGATTGAGCACTGCTCCCACCAGTTGCAGCCCTCAATCTGCAGCTCAGCAAAGTTGCACACTTCTTCTGGCAGCACCTCCAGGCCTCGATCGGCAAGGTTGAGCTGCGCCGTCTCAGCTGCCCGCCGCAGGGCTGCCCGCAAACCTGCCTGCTGGATGCACCCATCCTGCTTGGCACCGGCAAAGAATCCAGCATTGCGCTGACGCTCAGCTGGTGCGCGTGCGCCTCCCTTCCCTCCTGACGGGCGGCCAGCAGCGGAGCTCTGGCCAGTCAGGCCTGGGCCGCGAGCGGCCCGCATGTGGTGATATCGATGCTCTGACAAAGCACTGCTTATGTCAGCTGCTCTCGCCCCAAACACAGCTATTTTGTGTGTTATCAGGATATCGTGGCTACTCTTACGGTCCCTATGGATATGCGGGGTGCATTGGTGCACAAGAGCCACCACCAAGACCTTCTCAGCCCCTCCGGGACCGCCCCCTGGACCGAATTTCGAAAGGCTTTGTGATGAACTCTACCGAATGATGATGTGCTTAGGCAATGTCAGAACGGAACAGGAGCGGTGCTATGCCCCAGGGGAGGTGAACTCATAGCGAAACAAGAATGGCAATCGCTGTCGAATTGGCGGCATGGAGAATCCAACTGGGCAAAGCTTAGCAAAGGAGGTGGGGAATGAATCGGTCCAGCTTTAAGACCAAATTCGGGCCGGAATTGAACCAAATCAGGCGTCCTAACAACCGTGGATAAATAGCAGTGTGCAGGAACCTAATCGGCATGTAAAAGCACTCTAATAGGAACCCAACCGGATTCTAGTAGGAATCCAAAGGGAATCTTTACAAAACATGGTGAGAAAAATTGGAAGCCAAAGAGAATCTAAGAGGGCCGGACCAAGGGAGTGTTTGGATCGGCTTCGTTCTTCTCTGCTTCCGGGTTGGAGCCCCGGAGGGCCGTCCTCTCTTCCCTCTGCAACTTCTTATTCTTGTCCTTGCCTTGCCTTCAACTCTTTCTGTTTCTCCCTTTTCCTTCCTCTCCACCAGACAAGAAAATCACAGAAACGAGGGCGGAAGAAAGGTGAGAGAGGAAGAAAGGTGAGAGAGGAAAGAACACAAGGCGAGTTTAAGAGGACAACTCCTCCTCCTAATCTCGCCGCTTCCCCTCTTTTCTTCCTACACAATATAGAGGAGAGGACGTCGTCTCTTCTGATGTTTCCTTCCTCTCTTCCTCTTGTTTCATCTCGCTCACGCGCTCACTCAATCACTCTCTCTCTCTCTCATGTTCTCTCCTTCTTTAACGCTTGCTCTCGTACTTGTTCTCCTTCTGCCGTTGCCTGTCTCGCTGTCCCTGTCCCTTGTCTGTTCCCTTCCTCCGTTTTCTTCTTCGCTGTGCATCGTTTCCCCTTTGAATGACAAAGGGAAAAGAAAGGGAAGGGAAGGTGAAAGCGAGAAAGGGGGAAGAAAGGAGGAGAAGAAAGAGGGGAAGAGAAAGCAAAGAGAGAGAGAGAGAGAGCGGGCCAAAGAAATACATCAAACCAAAGATGAGAAGCCAATGACGACGAGCTGGTGAGAGCGAGTGCCTCTTGCTTTCGCCCCGTTGTCTATTCCTTTCGCTTCTCTTTTCTTATGAAGAGAAAGGCAAAAAGGCGAGGAAGAAGGCAAGAGAAGAGAAAGCCAAAGAGACGAGAGAGAGAGGTATTAACCGAGGAAGAAGCCAACAAATCATAAAGAAAGAGCGTCATTCCTTTCCCTCTCCTTTCTTGTTGTTCCTCCCACTGAAGGAGAAAGGACAAAACCAACAAACAATAAGATCAAATACAGGGGGGACAGAGACGAGAGTGTGTAGAGCTGGCAGTCCACCTCCATGCCTCTTCTTTTGTGATTTTATCCTTTTTGCTTTTCTTGCCGGAAAGTGGTGGAATGCATTGGCCGGAAGAGAAGCGGGGAGGGGAGCGAAGAAAACAACGAGAGAGATACGGCGCTAAACATGTTGAAGCTCCATGCTTTTGTGGCTTGATAGTAGTATAAACACAGAGACCCGTCACATAAGACAGAATTTGTGTGCTCCTTAAGCGAAATCGGGTCTCGCCTTTGATGCACACGGGTGCGTGGCAACAAGATCATGACAGTGTTTCTACATGGGGTAGATCCTGATATTGTCAGAAACGTCGGTGCTATACTGCTATCATCATGCTGCATGCGGTGGTGCTGCCAAAATTACAACCATCTAGCAAATGCATGCTGCACGACCAACCATTGTAAGCTTAGCGAGCTTAAGGGAGCCTTCTAGAGGGTCTTCTGGGTAGGCTTTGCATCCAAAACTTCAATTGCTGGAAAAAAGCTGGCTGAAGCGGACGGGACCATCGCTGGAGCTTGGCAGCCAGATTCGAGATGCTGTCTGAACACGCGATGGCACGGGGTCAACTTCAAACTTGTTGGCTGCTTTCTGACACCTTGAGTGGGGCACCCGGGGCACCCGATCTTCCGGGGCCATCATCTACTTCTACTTTAACGCGGACTTGAAAGAACGATCAAGTGAAATCACGTCCTTCAGACTGTGTGTGTGTGTGAGTACACCCTGTGAGGGATGCTGTCCACACAGGCAGCTCAGCGGCTAAGCAAAAAAGAAGAGGGAAAACCTCCACGAGAGTGGAGCAAAGCATTGCTTAGCATTGCTTCAGGCAAGACTGGCCTCGGCAAAACAAACCGTTTCTTCGAGATCCATGATAGGGCTGAGATGTCAGCTCTACGGCTCTACGTCTCTACGCTCAGCCAGTCAAGAGCCAAGACCGAGCATTTCGCGGCATGGCTCACTCAAATGAGATGTGCAACCTGAAGCATTAAGATCATTAACAATGGCATCTTGGTCAGAGCTGCTCCCAGTCAGAACGCATCCGAAAGTACTTTCTCCTCAGCTCGTCATCCCACGATAGCTGCTAGTTACACAATCCGACGCATGCGGACGCACTGCCCAGCAGAATGACATGCTCTAAGGCTCAATTTGCTCTCCATTTGCGCTGCAGTCAAGTTGCCGGCCGTGGCTGCACGCACCTCACTAGGTTCTGCTTGCGATTGCCAACCAGAGCATCCTCCAAGCGACGCCTTGAGTTGAAGGGAACAACATCGAACGAACACTTCTATCAGCTTTGGCATCTTTGCTGAGCAGCTGTTGCGCTGCAACAAGTTCCAATAAATTCAATCTTCGATCTTCCTCAACCAGCTGGCCTGCAACAAGATCTTGCTGACAACACGAATCAAGTCTCTCAAGCCAACCAGGAACACTATGATGGCCGAGCCTGACATGAACTGATAACTTTCAGCTGTCAGCAGAACCGTCACACCGTTGCCGTGCTTCACGATTCGAGAACAGTCGAGGCACTGTCCTGAGAGGCCAGCTCCCTCATGCGGCTCTGTGGCTGAGCTGTGCCGTTGTTGCATGTTGTTGCGACTTGATTCTCTTGTGCCGAGGCGCTTAGGAGGCGTGCGTTGTCGATCGTTTTTGCGGAGGCTGCCAAAGAAGAGATATCCACCTTCACCGTAGAGCCGTCCTGATTTAGGCATCGGTGGGCTAGTAACTTCGAGTAGAGCTCCACCAGGAACTGCAAGCCACATCCTTGTCAGGCCGTGCAATAATGACAACAGCACTTCTAAGTCCCTCCCAGGATCTCGCATCTTTGATGGTACAGTACTAAACGAGAACAGCACAGGGCTAACTACATACTTTAAGGCTGCAAGGGTGTGCACTTCAGTCATGTTGAGTATGAGGCTCTCAGGCCCAGTTGTGGGTTGGCCATGGCATTGGCCAGGAACAAGGGCAGGTACAGGATAATGAAGGCTTTATCATCATGTCCGTCTGTGAGGAAAAGCTCCAGCAGTGCATCCTGGGATATCAGCGGCTCCTATGGACATACAGAACCGGCTTCACATGCAACGCGGGGAGACATGATTCCGGCAGGATGGCTGCAGCTCAAGAATCCTGTTCTTGATCGGTCAATGCTTCCCAATCATTCACAAGGGCTTGCAGCGAAGAAGCTTGTACAGTTCCTTGGTTCTTGCAGTTTCTTGTTCTGATTGTCTGCGCCGATCTGTCGCACTAAAGATGCAGCCAAAGATCGAGTCAGGCATGCAAGCCTGGCTAGGACCAAGTGGCTCGGAGTCTGGACATGCAAATCCAATGCTTCCGCTCGGCTGGCAATGTAACGCCAATAAACGGAAGCGGGTTCCACACCCTAAGTGAGGCTTGAGAGCTGCGAGCAGAGACCCAGCCGAATTGGCAACCATGACATTGCAAATACCGCAAAAGACACCTGCGACTGAGTCTCTGAAAGGTCTTGCAAGCAGGAAAGCCCCTTCAACACAGAGCGTCCGTTCAGCTCTGTCAAGAACAACGATCCCGCCAAGGATATGCTCCCAGTGACCTTCACGAGGTTGGCATGATAGTGGTAACCCGTGGCATGCCAAGCAAATCCAAGCAAGCACGGAGCGAAGGACGTGGAGATAGGAAGCGGGCCCCGCACAGGATACTCACTTGAACGAAAAGGAATGTCCTCAGACAGTGTGATCCATCTATTGCTTTGTGAAGCCGTGAAAGTCTTCCAGTGCGAATCCAAGTCTCTGATACACATCCTCGCCTTCTTCTTCTTTGCCACACTGCAGCTGCCACACAGAGTGAGGGTTGTTCTCCCCCTGCAGAAGCTGCGCGAAATTGAAGTCGTACAGCATTCGGACCTGTGTGACTAGAGGCATCAAGTGAGGTCCACTCAGCTGATTTCTGTGACTCGTGCAGGCCAGGAAGTCATGTTGGATTGGTGCCAGAGGTTAGCAGGAAAAGTCTGACCTCATGCAGCCTTCCTTAAATTAGCTCGGTTGAAGGATTTCAGGCTGGATCCTCCCATATCCTCTCTCTTTGCTCTCAGCGCCAGATGGACACTGAAGCTTCTCTGCAGCCGGACCTTCTTGTTCTGCCTCTTTGGTACGTGCCAGACCGGGGTGCTACATAGTACACTAAACAATGCTGTCAATCGGCAAGCGGCAAGTATTCACGCCTGTTTGCATCATCAAGGAGGATTCCCCATGTAACACTAGTCGAGCTGCCATTGCTGTCATCTGGTGGTAGACCTCTGCATCTAGACTTGTTATCGAGGGGAGATAAGCATCCAGATTGGCGATGGCATATGTCAGCACCTCCACAGGGAGCTGTCGAAATGTTCGAGACAATGCTCGGGTACCAGACTCTGCCGCTGCCTGTTCTGGGGTTCGTCGCTCAGACGGTGGACAGAGCTTGGCAAAATCGGAGCTCTTGCCGAGGCCACCTTGACTCTGGAGGACTTGATTTCGTCCCCGGATCGAAACACGCCAAAGGCGCCAAGTCCATCCAAGACTCGAAGCGCGAGGAGGACTAGCAAGGCAGCGAGCTGTGCTCTGGACATTTGACTCCCACCAAGAGCCTCCTGGACTGCGTTTCAACTCGGGCAACCATTTTGGAATATTTTGGACGTGACCACACGGGGTTTTGAACTCTTGGAAGTCTCAGCTCCTGGATGGCCTGGAATGTGGTCTGAGACAATTGCTGCTCAGGCTTCTGGGACTCCACCATGCTCATGTAGTCGCCCTGGCGCAGCATGCTTCCGCCAGGATGATCCCGGATTATGTTTAAGCAACGCTGAAGCACAACACAATAGCTCCTTCAACAACCACACTGTGCTGAGCAATGATAACATGGCTCTGCTTGCTTCGTCCTGACCAGCAAATCAGATGGAAAAGGGTTGGGTTCTCATAGTTGCATCGTGAATGAGCTCTCCTTCTATACAAGGCAGAACAGAAGAAGCGGGCGAGAAACAGAATCGACATGCAACCACTCGGATTGAATTCTGACTGAGGATTCAAAGGTGAATCCTTGCAGACATATTGCGTGCCGTCCCTTCCATCGCCTATCGCCTCGCTTTGCTGAACAGGCAGGCTTGACCTTCGTGGACTTCTCCGTGTTTCGCTTTTCTACGAAACTTGGTTGGAACAAGCATTGCCCTGAATAAGCCTTTCAAGTATCTTGAGCCCTTTGCGCTTGCCTCCTCTCAATGCTCACAATGCGACTGCCAAAGCGTAGACAACCAAGTACGTACGCAGCACATGAAAGGATGTTGGAGTGAGCAGGATCCTTAAACGTTGCTTTTGCCGCCGTGCGCTACATACTCATATATACTCATACAGGTGCCAAAGCGCTGCGCTGTGCGGTCCTCGTGTTGCAAGTGGGCATAGATTCCATCGGCCCGAAGCTCTGGGATGTACTTCTGAAAGATGGCGCGCAAGTCCTAGGAACATCTAGGAACACAATGTGTTTGATTGAACCAAGGCTCACAGGTGCACTCCCCAACTAACAAGTCATGGAGTCATGGAGGCTTCCCAGAGATGAAACAGTAGCGAGAGCAGCTCCCCATCTTCAAAGAAGCCCACAGCTCTTTGCACCCGTACAAAATCAGAAATCAACAAGAATCCTGCGTCGGTGAGCAAAATAGCAACCTTTCGAGGCCTTTTTTGAGCTCTAACAACATAGCCGGTGCCCGTTGAAATCTGAGGCTGTATGACAATGATAGCCCCTTCAAATCCAGGTCTTCCAACCCTGATGAAAAAGTCAATTCGGACCCTCAAGCTGGTCCAATTGTGAACTGTAGCTTGTCAATGCCATGTTGAATGAACAAGCAGCGTCCTCCAAACCCTATACTTGAAACATCTTGAAACAAACATCCTCCACTCCTCTCAAAATTTCTTGGGGCGCTCTTATCTTCCTTCAGAAGCAAGCATCAGATCAAGACGATCCCATACAATAAAAACGCTACTAACTGAGAAGCCCTTTCTGATGCAGCTGGCAGTGGGTTTTCTGTGGTTTGTTCTCGTGATGCATGCTGCCTACCTCTAATATCAACACATGCTCCGCTTCGGCCGTGTATACATCCGCAGACCCTCTGCAACGCCCTGCTTGCTTTGACGAGCATCATTGTTGCTGAGTCCATCTGCTAAGATCTCGTCCAAGAAACTTGTGAAGTCTGTCTCCTGTCAGAATGTCTTAAGTGTAAGCAGAGCGAGACAGCGTAAAACTCTTTTGTTTGCTAGCTAAGAAAGGAGCTTTATATAACAGATTGCTCCTGTCCGGCCACTGTCCCTGTGATTGTAAGTGAGAGGGGCCATGGCAAGGACACGAGGATGGATGGAAGTCACTGAAGGATGACCGACCGACGCGAGTCACCAAAAGAACAAACTGAGGAAATGACAGGTCCTTGACGTTTGAATCGTTTGAAGCTGTCCGCGGGCTACATATTTAATGGCATTCGATATGTTTACCCTCTTATGGCCTTCCAGCGCGTTTCTTGCCAGGCTCCTCAGCCTCCTCAGCACTCTTCCTTAGCGCACGACCTGATAAGGGGGTTCGTGTTTATATAGGCCTCCGGCACCCTCTCCGTAACATCTTCCCACTATTGTAAAGCACGCAGCCTCCCGTTGTTACTAGTGGCCTATACTCAACATACGTTCGAGTGAAGGGCAGGTGCCAGAATCCAGAAGAAGCGAGGACATGCGAAGAGATCACTGTTGCATCTGCAGGACCAAAACCTATTCGTGAATGCACCCTGCAACAACCTTTCGATCAGACGAAAATCACGACGTGCAGATGGCACGGTGCCATGCTGTGACATCCGCGATCCCGCCACTGCATGCAGCGTACCGTGCAGAAGTCGCCAGACTACCCACGTCCTGTAGCTTCCATGTACCTACACCAGGCCAGCCATAAGTGCAATCGACCAACCAATGCATCCCAATCCAATCAAAATCTGTCGCAAGGCTCAGGCTGCAGATGCTATATATATATATATAATGCTATCACACGCCGCACCAGCAGGTCAAACCCAAACTTTATTAGTGAGCTCGTTCTGCGCAGGATAGTATAGGTGTCAAGGTGACATCTCCAGATCACGAGACAAGCAGTCCTCCGAGCACTTGAGATTGTGAATCTGCCCAGTGCCCGGCACCAGAAGCTCCTCGAAATATGTGTGCGACAGCAGCAGAACGTGCTAGAAGTGCCACTTCTCACGCAACTCTGCCGACGAGGAGCTGCAAGCTGAGTGTGGCGAACGCAGTCTTCCACGTCGTTCTGATCTATCCGTTCCCAGCACTGCACTCTGTGCGGCCTCAGCTGTTGGCGAGAGCCAGACATATGGCTGGATTCCTGGACATTGCTGGGGATGTCTGCCACAATTGCCACCAGAGGATCTGGATCGTTTGCAGTATGCGGACAGCATACCTGAGGAGGGGCCCGAAGATCAGTCAACACGCCGTGTCAAGAAGCTGTTCGCCCGATAGGTAAGAGACTGTGACTGCGAAAGCTAGACTCAGCTAGACAGATAGCTAGACACGATAGACAGTGCCTTTTAACTCAGCTGCGTGCCAACAAGCAACAATCAAGGGCATTGATTTGTTTTTTTTTTTTTGGGGGGGGGGGGGGGGACACCCGCCGCCCCGCCCCCTTCGAAAAAACAACTACAATATGCCCACCCCCTTGCAAAAAAACAACTACAACATGCCATCACAGGGGCGGGGGCCTCAAGATTGGAGCAATCCATCATTCAAGGGGGGGGGGGGAGGGTGGGCGCCCACCCTCCTCGCAGCCCACTAACGAATACCACTTTACGCATCTTTACACCCGAGGCATCCCGTGGTCGCATTGTGACCCACCTGAAACGTGTGAGAGAAAAAGAGATTGGTGAAACGACAACTTCCTCGTGCTGCAAGGAGCTACTAGGTGCTTTCGCGACCGACAGTGGAAATGCAAACTTTCTGAGTTTTTGTGGCGATTCAGAAGTAGTATCGACGATACGGGGGCAAGTTGGGCAAGAGTCTCCAGTCAGCTGCCCGGCTATCCGAACACAAAAAGCACTCCACACCACAGGCCGGCAAGTACATGGCTAAGTAATGTTTTATCCTGATTAGTGCGGTCCCCCGGAAATGTGCAAAGTCCGAAAGTTATCCAGCGGAATCTATTTGAGGTGGTCCCCCGGAATTGTGGAAAAAACATCGGGCGATGCAAAATTTCGGCGAGGCTGTTGAATAGAGTTGTTCTGAGAGACCAAAGATCTGAGCCTGAGCAAAGGTTTATAGCCTGAAACCTTGAGGCCTGAGGTTGTCGGGCCCTGAAATCTTAAGTCTCCAGGCCAGCCCCAAAGCTAAGATTTCCTCAAAAAATCCTTTTGTACCGAGGCCAGGCAATCAAATTTCAAAGGTGGTAGTCCAGCAGCTGCCCGAATGCCGTATAATATAAAGCGTTTGGTCCCCCGGAATTAATATTTGTTGGCGGGCTGGCTTGGTTGGGATAGATATGATAGATGGATCCCCTTTAAATTCATATATATATATATACAAACTGATCCTTTCTAAAATCATTTGGATCCCTTTTAAATCACATGAATCCCTTTTAAGTTCACATAAATTCATCCCTTTTAAAATCGTATGGATCCCTTTGGAATTCATACAAGCTCATCCCTTTTCAAATCATATAAAGCCAGCCCCCCACCCCCCACCCCCCCACCCCCCACACTAAACAGCGAGATCCGTTTGTTGAAGGGGGGGGGGAGGGGGGGGGGGGGGGGCGCACACTAATCAGCAAACCACATTCTGGACCAGACTGGCCACTGTGACTTCAAACAGGTGCCACATGGCGCAACCTCGACGTAGTTACTTGACCGACCCATGCGTGGAAAAGACATCAACGACTGTCCTAAGCCTGTCCCACTAGGGAAAAGCTGCACATATGCCTCCCTAAATTCTCTTTGTGCATGTATTTATATGTATGTATACATGTATATATATATATATATGTGTGTATATATATATATATATATCGGGCTTTCGCCATCCTCAACGATTCTCAACGCTGCAGATGTTGCCTGGGCAAGTCTGGGCAACTACCTCTAAACACTTGAAGAACCTGAGTCGGCAAACCTGGTCTCCGCACGTTCTGTTGTGAAATAGATAAGCTCCAGGCACGGACTCTCGCGGAGTATCGTAGACTAACTACCAGGCGCGCAGTGCGGTGTCGGAGCCGGTACATTCGGTACAATACATTCCGATAAAACTCGTTCGGGTTCCCATCTCACCTAGTGACTTCTCATTCTTTTCTCGGGACCGCATTCCAGCCAGTGTTGCCTGAAATCTGTCCGAGCCGTGCCCCCTGCGCAAGCATGTGGGGAGGACACACGACGATAGAATGCTCGAGCAGTACTCAAAGGAGTGCTTGCAACATTTGCTGAAGGAGGGGAAAAAAGGGACGCTTGAAACTAGCATGCACAGCGAAACATCGTGCTCTCCATTGCGGCCGCCGCCCCAACGCACTCGTGTTAGAACCCACACCTGCACCTAGAAGAGGTTTCAGAAGGTACTTCTTCATTCCCTTGGAAGCCTTGTTCCGCACGTTGACAACTGTTTGCCCCCAACACGAAACCCGAAAAATAATCTCCAACCTATCTGGAGTCGAGTTGGGGATAGCACTAGTTTCCCTACTCTTCATAACTACCCGTGAACCTTCAAGTAGCCAGGACGGTGTTAAACTGCTGGTAACTTGCGTAGAGCCTGGCAGAGAAC